ACTTATTGTTCGTCCCTCGCGTCCTAAGATTGATTTTGAGTCACCTGTCTTCCTGCAGAGGCTACAGGGTGATATTTGTGGACCAATTAATCCTTCATCCGGACCATTTCGATATTTTATGGTCCTTATTGATGCTTCCACCCGATGGACACATGTGTGCTTGTTGTTCACTCGAAATATGGCATTCACAAAATTCATGAGCCAAATCATTAGGTTGAATGCCCAATTCCCCGATTATCCTATTAAGAACATAAGAATGGATAATGCTGGTGAATTCACTTTGTCAGCTTTTGACGATTATTGTATGGCCATGGGAATTAAGGTGGAACATCCAGTACCATACATCCACACCCAGAATGGTTTAGCTGAATCTCTTATTAAAAGAATTAAACTAATAGCTAGACCATTACTGCAACGGTCCAGTCTACCAGTAAATTGTTGGGGACACGCAGTGTTGCATGCTGCAAATCTAATTCAACTACGACCAACTGCATATCACGATTATTCCCCTCTACAACTTGTATGTTGTAATGAGCCAGACATTTCTCATTTGCGTGTCTTTGGCTGTGCAGTTTACGTACCTATACCACATCCACATCGTTCTTCAATGGGCCCGCAACGTCGATTAGGTATTTATGTTGGGTATGAATCCCCTTCTATCATTAAATACCTCGAGCCTATGATAGCAGATCTGTTTACTGCACGGTTTGCTGACTGCATATTTGATGAAGATCATTTCCCGGCATTAGGGGGAGAGAAAAGCCCAGCTTTAAAAAAATGCCACGAAATTTCATGGGATGAAAAAGATCTTCAATATCTTGACCCACGTACTAGTCAAATTGAACTTGAAGTTCAGAAAATAATAAATTTGCAAAAACTAGCAAATAATCTGCCAGATGCATTTACTGATTATAAAAGAGTAACTAGGTCCTATATTCCTGCAGAAAATGCTCCATCAAGGATAATTGTCCCCAAAGGACCAGATACTAACACTGACACTATCCGACGCCAGAAGCGTGGAAGACCAGTTAGTGCAAAAGATGTAAATCCGCGGAAAATTAAAAACAATAAACAATCACAGTTACTCCAAAATCGTCCTGAAGACAAAATACCCAGTGTAAATGCACCTGCTACAAATAAATCTAACACTGGGAATACGAAACACCTTCACCAAGATATGATAGCAAATGAGAAAGACTTGGTTGAAGTAAATATAGAATCTGCCATAAACTTTTTCGAAACAGGAGAAAATCTTAATAGAAGTATAACAGTCATCGACAACCAATTCGCCTCTACAATTGCTCTTCACATTTCTTTCAATAATCTGGATCCGGAACCAAAAACTATAGTGGAGTGCCGGAAGCGCTCCGATTGGTTGAAATGGAAAGAAGCAATTGAGGCTGAGCTCAACTCGCTAAATTAAAGAAAAGTGTTTAGCCCTCCTGTACTTACCCCTAAAGGCGTGATCCCAGTAGGATCCAAATGAGTATTTGTACGAAAGAGGAATGAACAAAATGAGGTGGTCAGATACAAAGCGAGACTGGTAGCTCAAGGGTTCTCACAGAGACCCGGAATAGATTTTGAACAAACTTACTCTCCTGTCTTAGATGGCACATCGTTCCGTTATCTAATATCGATGGCAGTAAAAATGAATTTAGAAATGCAGTTAATGGATGTTGTGACCGCATATTTATATGGGTCACTAGACGCTGACATATATATGAAAGTACCTGAGGGCATCCAAAATCCTTTATGTAAAGGAAATACAAATAAAAATATGTTCAGGGTAAAACTACAAAAGTCATTGTATGGCTTAAAACAATCAGGAAGAATGTGGTATTGTCGATTGAGTGAATTTCTCTTAAAACAAGGATATGAAAATAAAGATATTAGTCCTTGCATCTTTACAAAGAAATCAACTGATGGTTTCTGTATTATATCCATCTATGTAGATGATATAAACATCATAGGGACAAGCAAAGATGTCAAGAGGGCATGCTTGTGCTTAAAGGAGGAATTCGAAATGAAAGACTTGGGAAAAACCAAGTTCTGTCTCAGCCTGCAGATCGAGCACCTCCCTGAAGGGATATTCCTACACCAATCCAAATACACAGACAAGTTATTGGAGAAATTCTACATGGATAAGTCCTATCCACTTAGTACTCCAATGGTAGTCCGATCACTTGAAGTTGATAAGGACCCGTACAGACCTAAAGAAGATAATGAGGATATTCTGGGACCAGAAGTTCCTTACTTAAGTGCCATTGGAGCACTTCTATATCTTGCCAACTACACTAGACCTGATATTGCGTTTTCAGTAAACATGCTAGCTCGTTTTAGTGCTGCTCCAACCAGAAGGCATTGGAATGACATAAAACATATCCTCAGATATTTACAAGGTACAAAGGATCTTGAGCTTCTATTTAAAAGAGACCAATACACCACATTAGTGGGATATGCGGATGCTGGTTTTATGTCTGATCCGCATAATGCTAGATCTCAGACTGGGTATGTGTTTCTTTCAGGAGGTACTGCTATCTCATGGAAATCAGTTAAACAAACATTAGTAGCTACCTCCTCAAACCACTCTGAGATTATTGCCTTATACGAGACCTCCAAAGAATGTGTATGGTTGAGGTCATTAATACACAATATTCAAGACTCGTGTGGAATAATGAATAATGGAAAGATCCCCACTGTCCTGTATGAGGACAATGCAGCATGTGTTGCATAAATGAGTAATGGATATGTTAAAGGTAATCTCACCAAACATATTGCACCAAAATTATTTTATCCACATGAACTCCAGAAGAGTGGTGAAATACGAGTCCAAAAGATCCAATCAAGTGAAAATCTGGCAAATTTATTCACTAAGTCCTTACCTACATCTACTTTTGAAAAGTATGTATATATAATTGGTATGCGTAGATTAGGAAGGTTGTTGTCTTCAGGGGGAGCAATAACACTTTAAATATAATGAAATTATTAGTCCAGAAGATTAATTCATTCACTTTGATCCAGAAGATCAAGATATATTATTATGATTTATACCTAAACCCAGAAGGTTTACAGTTGCACTCTTTTTCCCTTACTGAGTTTTTTTTTCCCACAGGGTTTTCTAAGTGTAAGGTTTTTAATGAGGCAACTGAAGCAACACATGCATTACCCATATGTCGTGTACTCTTTTCTCACTTAGGTTTTTCCCACCGGGTTTTTCTAGTGAGTTTTTAACGAGGCATGAATATGGTTAAATAATGTCCAAGGGGGAGTGTTACAAAATATATTAATTATGGACATTATGTCACTTTATTTGAGATTGATTAGTCATTATGTAGTGATTTGTAACCTACATCACTTTGTACTATAAAGGCTTGTTTCTTCATAATGCAATGACTAATTCTTTCTGGTGTCTTCATACTATCTCTACCTCCATAGTGTATTTACATTTGTATTGTTCCTGCAAATCCACCGGCTAGGAGCTAACGGGCCAACGGGCATCAAACATTTTAACAACTTTGATATTCTTGTAATTCAATCTCTAATCTCTATTTTTCCTAATCTCTTTTCTTATTCTTTAAAGAAAAATTTATTTGATGCTAATCTTCATAAGGAAGATCAATGTGATTATGAGACTGGAAAAAAATTTAAATGATAGTGTCCACAACAATGATAAGTATCACTATGATGATAAAAATGTTGATAGTTATTTAGACTATGGTGGTCACAATGATAAACCAAATTATTCAATTTTATTTGACATATATGATCCAAGCAATTGGGATGCCCTTGACCAGGGTTGCAAAGAACATCGCGCCTAGGCGCTAGGCAGCGGCCGACCGCCTAGGCGCCGAGTTGGTCGCCGTGATTTTAAATAATTTTTAAATTTTTTAAATTTAAAAAATAAAAAATAAAAATCAGGCGCTAAGGGATTTTTTCAATATTTCCCTTGAATCTAGATTAATATATATTTTTGTGGAAAGGGGCCCAAATTTAGATGTCGCACAGGACCTCTATTTTTATTGGAATGGCCTTGCTGAAAGCAGAAGGTGTTCGGCACAACAATGCCCATGTGCCATATTCAGTTAAAGTAGAAGGCAGAGTAACCTGGTGGCATAGCCAGCCAACATTCGTACCCGCAAGTGTCGGCGCACACAAACTTAGGTTTGAACCAAGCCTTTTTGCTCTCATTTCGGATTTGATTTCGCTCTCAGACTCACCAAGTATGGGCATTTCATAGCCTTGTCCCACCCTTTCAAGTGTACGGATTGCATAGTTTGCCTCAAGGCATTATCTCAGACAGAGACATTATATTTTTGAGCAAGTTGAGGTTGGAAGTGATGGAAATTGAATCTTGCCTGACTGGTTGGGTGAGTCAGGCTAAGAGCATCCTTATCAGTTGAGGTTATTTCTCAGTTATTTGTGGGTCTCAGCATCCACCTCATCCTTTATCATCTCATTTAATTACAAAAAACCCTTCTCCACATCAATTTTGAGTTATTTCTCAGTTTTTTATGCACCCACCATTTAACTCACTATATTTTAATTATTTCTCTTACTTATTGGGACCACAAATATACCATACTTTGCATAAGAAATATTTTTGAAATAACTCCTCCCCACATCAGCTATTAACTTTGAGTGGAGAGAATTCATGTAGAAATAACTCCTAAATAACTACTAGTGTGGATTCTCTAAGCGGTTGCGCAGGCGAACGGCCAATTGTTCGGGAGCGGACTGGGTGCTAGACTGCTAGTGATTCTAGAAGTCCACGCGGAGGCATTTAAGAGGAATTTTACTTACCTTTAGAGGTTATGTATCCATTTATTTTTGGCACTGAATTTAATCCAACACTTTGAACTTTAATATGTAAATAAATTCAAATTGTGTTTACAAATTTTGACACCACGGTTTTCCTATTATTCACTTGATAAAAGTTCTGGTTCATTGAGCTTTATTCGATGAATATAATTTTTCGCTGTATATCAACCTTGTTCAGTAAGTACTAAGAAGATCCCAGAATGTGGTTATACTAAGACGACAAGTCCAAGTTTTTACAAGGATTCAATATAATACAGTTTCCCACTGTCAAACACTGAAAGCGATTAGTAAAAAATGAGTATATAGTATATACATACAGTGGTAAGAAGAGACAAGCAGTGAAGCAACAGGTTATGCAGCTTTGAGTTTGGTGCTCTTCCGTCTTCTCCTTCCAAAAAATTTGAGGATTTCATCGATAAGAATAACAGGTGCTGAAACTAAGATGACCAGAAACCATTCATTTACACTCAACGGGACGACACAGAACACATCTGCAAGCAATGGCACATACAGTATGAGGCAATGTAGCCCCAACGAGATTGCCATTGCAACGAGAAGCCAAGGGTTTGTCCAGGGAGGCATGGTGACCAGACTGTTGTCTTCCGAGAGGGCATTCAGAGAGTTGAACATCTCGATAGCGACGAGCACAGAGAGTGAGAGTGTCATTGCCTTCACTTTGCCACCACCAAAATATTCGCATGGGTTTGAAAAGGTGAGGAGGCGATGATCACCCGCTGTGAATGGAGTCGCGCTGAAATTTGACCACGATGAGCACTCTCCCCAGTTGCGTAGCTGTGACAATTCCACAAGGGTGTGCCCATCACTCACAAGATTAATGCCCATGAAAGAAGCCTGAGTATACCACAGTATAAAGATGCCAACAGTTGCAATCCCCACGTATGTGCCGATCACCTGCCATTTTGATCACAAACCAACTAATGCCAAGTTAATTTACAAATTAAATGCACAACTACTTAGTTTGGTCGGTCGCGTACTACTCGATCACAATTGCCGCCAGTATTAACATGAAGAAATGAGGTATCAGCTATAAGGAAATAAACTATAGCTTTTGGCATAGTGGTAAGCATTTGATCCTAACAAGAGACAATAATTGTGACCATATTTCATCCAATAATAATAATAATAATAATAATAAATAAATAGCAACACTGACCATGTAGCGAATGAAAACCCATGAGTTTATTAGAGCATCATCGCTCTTCCGGGGTGGTTTCCTCATTATGTCAACATCAGCAGGGTTAAATCCTAGAGCAATGGCGGGTGGACCGTCTGTAACCAAATTTACCCACAGCAGCTGAACAGGTATCATACACTCTGGTATCTGGAGAAGAGCGGTCAGAAATATGGATATAACCTCACCAACATTAGAAGATATCATGTATCTGCACATCAAAGGAACCATGCATGACTTAAATAATGCTAATGGTTAAAATTGTGTGTGTGTGTACATCAATGTTACAAATCTTGCCTGATGAAGGCTTTCATGTTGTTATAGATGGAGCGGCCCTGTGCAATAGCAGAAACTATTGTACTGAAATTATCATCTGCTAGAATCATATCCGAAGCTTCCTTGGCAACCTAGAAAAACGATTCAGACCATAACAATGTGCAAGTGCCATTGTGGGTGAGAAGTAACAAGTGAGTCAGGAAGAGTTTAGATATATTATATTTGGTTACCTCGGTTCCAGTAATACCCATGGCTATTCCAATATCCGCAAGTTTTAGTGCAGGTGCATCATTGACACCATCTCCAGTCATTGCAACAACTTCGCCCATCTCCTTTAGCACCCTCACAATTTCTTGTTTATGTGTGGGTTCAGCTCGAGAGAAAACCTTTCCCCCAACTCTCGACAATATATCCATCTGTTGCTGGGATGAAAGACCCATAAACTCTTTCCCAGTAAAACTTTTCCCTTTAAGATCCTCTCCTTGAGAAAATAAATTAATTTCACGACAAACTACTTCTGCTGTGGACTTATTATCTCCAGTTATCACCATCACCTTGATCCCGGCTCCTCTACAGGAATCTATCGCCCTGTAAACTTCCTCGCGAGGTGGGTCCTGTCATTTAACTCAATTTTAGTAAATCAGTGAATTCAGCTTTTCGGTATAACATAATATTCACTATATACACTTAAGCTCACCCTCAGACCAACAACCCCTACAAAGATTAAATTACTTTCTAGCAAGGAGTAGTAGAAAGGATCAAGGAGTTTCTTGTGTGCGGGATGACTGTCTGAATAGTAGTCTGAGAGATCTTCCAAATCATCTTTGTATGCTAATCCTAAGCACCGCAGTCCCTTTGAGCTCATCTCTGAGTGTTTTAACAGTAAAAGTTTTCTACAGCACTCATCAATCGGTACAGTGGACCCATCTGCCAGTTGCACATATGAACTACGCTCCAGCAAACCCTCAACAGCCCCCTACAGAAACAGTGATGGTCAAATGCAAAAAAAAAAAAAAAAAAAAACTAAAAATAAAAAGCGATTATCATAGTGCACAGGCCACTTAATTAAGAATAAAATCAGCATCTGTAAGTAAAGCTACTAGCTATATATTTTGCGAGTATAACAGCATCCAAAAGAAATCTTTGAAAGAAAAATACAAAACACCATTTTATTTGCAAAGTTAGCACGTACAAATGAATCAGAGTCGGTATAAAATATCCGGGTATAAGAATCAACCTTGACAAGAAGTCGATTATTCCCATTAGGTTCCCGAACAATAACACTCATGGACTTGCGAAGCCGGTCAAATTCCAGAGTTGCAATCCTCTTTGATCGTTTCATCCACCATTCACAGCAGCCTGAGCAAATAGAAATGCTTAGTGAGTTGCTGAAATTATAATTGTAAACCCATATGTTTAGGCCTTTATTCCTCACCTAACTTCACTGTATTGCAATCAATTAGATAGTTTGAAATAAGCATTGCATCACGAATTTTGCTCCTCGCCTTGTAATCTGGTACTCCCATCTTTTCAACCAAAACCTTTAGAGCTGCCTCAGTTGGTAAGCCCGTTGCTCTGAACTGACGGCCATCAAAAAAAATCCCCGCATCATTGCAGAGAGCGCATATTTCTGCCAAGGCTTGTAAGTTGGCATCCATATTGTAGCACTTCCAGTCAATGATTCCACCGTCCTTTGGATCATAAGTAGTGCCTTCAACACGAAAAGTTCGTGAGCTTGTAGTTTTCCCTCCTAGAGTAAAGAATTCTGAGACAGACATCTGATTTGTAGTCAGTGTTCCTGTTTTATCTGAGCAAATCACCGTTGTGCATCCTAAAGTCTCTACACTGGGAAGTTTTCGAACAATAGCATTTTTTTGTGCCATTTTCCTTGTACCTAGAGCTAAGCAAGTTGTGATTACAGCTGGGAGACCCTCAGGAATTGCAGCAACAGCAAGGGCAACAGCAATCTTAAAATAATACGTGCACTTTTCAAAGGAAAAACGAAAATTTGTTGGCCATCCATTCACTACCTCCCAAGTGAGGAAATATTTGTAGTTGATAATCCACACGACAAGGCAAACAATGCCAATGACAGTCGTAAGCCTATTACCAAACTCATCAAGCTTCTTCTTCAAAGGTGTATCGCTTTCTTCCATCGATGCCTCGTGTATTTGCTTTTGTATCTTACCAATTTCAGTGCACATCCCAGTGCTAATAACGATACAAATGCAGCTACCGTTCACAACAGTTGTTCCTGCAAAAACCATGTTTTCTTTCGCCTGCAATTCACAATCACTCATCAAGATAGGCTCGGTGCCTTTTACAACTGGCATTGCCTCCCCTGTCAAAGAGCTCTGTTCCACTCTTAGGGTCAAGGTTTTCAAAACCGCAACCCTCATGTCAGCAGGTACTTTATCACCAACTCGTAACTCCACAATATCCCCGGGGACGAGCTCCCTTGCTGGCAAATCTGGTACTGAATATCCATCCCTGAATGTCTTTGCAGACTCACATTGCATCTCCTTCAGAGCTTCAAGCGCCTTTTCAGCATTGCTCTCTTGCCAAACTCCTACAATGGCATTTAGAACTAGAATCAAGAAAATCACAAATGGCTCTACATAGACTTCAAATCCAGAGTCCCCAGTTTCATTTCCATGCAAATAAGCAAGAATAAATGAGATGAAGGCTGCAACAAGAAGGATCTTGACAAGCATATCATCAAACTGCTCCAAAAATAGTCCCCACAAGGACTTCCCCTTCTCTTTCTGTAGCTCATTCCAACCGTATCTCTCTCGCCGCTTCTCAACCTCATATGTGCTTAGACCCTTGTTAAGCTTCACTTGGTACTCTTTCAGACACTCATCAACTGAAACTGACCAAGCAAGGAATGGCCTTTCATCCATTGGCTCTTGTATCTCAATTCTCAAGCTAAGTTGTCAGGCCAACTCAAACCCAAACAATTCCCTAATTCATCTCAAATTCCTAAAAATATTTATATTTAAACAGCAATGTCAGCTAAACAATAAACATAAAATACTGCTAAATACTAAAAAATAAGAGAAACTAGAAATTGCATAACCTTGTAAGATACCAGAAAATTGGGGAAAAAGAGAAGAATATTTAGAGCCAAGGACACTTAACCCCAGGAAAAAAAAACAAGAATTAAACTGGGATTCTGGGACTGACAAACTCATAAAATTTCCTTCCTTGAAATAGTCAAAACTTAAAGAAGAAACAAAAACAACAAAAAAAACAACTTCATACGGAAAACAAAATACACGGTCTTACCAATTATCAGTACTAGTGAGGTTATTGCATGCTCACATAAATGAAAAAACAAAATCAAGTTTTGGAATAGTAAGTAAGAAAGACTCATATTTTAGTAGCAGTTGAAAGTAAAAACAAAATGGGGAACTGAAAATGTAGCGACAGAACCTGCAGAGGAAGGTAGAATACAGAGATGCGGCTATGTGAGTCAAAAAGATGAGGAAACAAATCCTGGAAAGGGTGGTTTGGAGAATATTTCTTGATTCAAAAGGCAGTGCTTGGCATTCATAACTGGATCTGTAAAAACTTCACTTGCTTCAACTGCTTTACGGAAAGAAGTAAGACTTATCTTCAAGCAGTTAGAGAGAATTTTTTCTTTTAACTTCACTTGCTTCAACTGCTTTACGAGACGGAGTGAGGCTTATACCAATTTTGATACTTGAAGAACTATGATTAATTAATTTGGAACAAGATAATAATTTGAAAATCGAAGAATTAGTCAATTTAAAAGTAGGATTAAAAGTGAAAAAGTCAGTCTATATCATATTAACTCTGTGACATAACTTAGGAAAAAGGAGAAAAACAACAACTCAAATTATATTATTGAATTTTTTTTTTTCAAAATAGTCCCTCGACTATTGCTCATTCTTGATTTTACATTCCGACTTTCAATTGCATCAAATCTGGTCCCTCGACTTTCAAAATCAATCGAGGGACCAGATTGGATGCAATTGAAAGTCAAATAATAGTTGAGGGGTCATTTTGAAAAAAAAAAACCCTTATTCTATTAGTCTATTAATAATTTAGAGCGTGTAAAAAATCAAATTATATTGTAAATTTTTTTTTTTTTTTTTTTTTGGAATTTTTAGAAAAGTAAGAAAAAAATGCAACGTCCATCTGCAATGTACATGTCCACCGGGGGCGTTGGATGCCCCTTTTTTTCAATTTCCTTTTTGTCTCCCTGCCAAATGACCTAACAAAATTTCAAAAAAAAAAAAAAAACTTAAAATAATAATCTTGCTCTAAGATATTTAAAATTTGATATACCATCCTAATTATTCTTTAATTTTGCCACAATTTTATTATTATTATTATCATTTTTGTAATAGGGATATTCGCATTCACTATTCGAGAATATACATGTATGTAATAATACACAAACAATAAAAAATATGTAAAGCGTTCTAGAAAGACATTATGCAACAAACTCGATAGAGAAGGTGTTGACAAAATTCAAATGCATGACCTTTAGGTATTTTGCCACTTTTTTTTTTTTTTTTTTTTTTTTTTTTTTTTTAAAGGTAAAATAAACCATCTAACTTATTAACCAAAAGAGCAATTAAGTTGTTTCTTTTTTAAACCAAGAAATTAAGTTGTTAAACTTCAAAAAGTTTCAATTAAACTAGATCTTTAGCAGGATACCATCATGTAACCTATAAAGAATATGACATTTTAATATAAGATGTGTAAAGTAAATATTACTGATTAATATTTTTTATATTTAAAAAAATAAAAAGATCACTTTTTACATCACCACTATTTTAATCAGTGCTATAAAAAAAATAGAATTGTTGGCTGGCAGCAAAATAGTTTTTCTTCCATAAATTATATATGGAAGAAGATGTCTTCTTCTCCAGAGTTTTGGAAGGAGAAGTTTGCTATTCAACAACTGTAAGCATTGAAAATTTAAATAATGTTGTTGGACCGTAGTAGATAATTGATTGATAAATTAATTACTTTAATTAAATTAATTGGATTAATATTTATTTAATTGGGTTAATTAAATGGTCCATTAAATAATTAATTGGTCTAATTGCTTAATTAAATGTAATTGAATGTTGGATTGTTCGGCCCAAGTTGATGGAATATTTAATCGAGTTGGACCAGGCTACTTGGATGAATTGGGTTGCCTAATTAGGGCATCCTCAATAGTTGGGAATTTTACCCCAGATTTTTGTGGGTCCCAACATTCATCTCATCATCTAATATTTCACTCAATCACAAAATCTCTTCTTCCCATTAGTTTCAAGTTTTCACAATTTTTTGTGGACCCACCATTTTATCTACATATTTTAATTATTTCTTTATTTATTTGATTTATAATTTTATAAATAAACATAAATGAATTGCATATGTAAATGAACATACGTAAAAATTACAAGCTTTTATTTCCAAACTTATAATTAAAATAAAAGAACAATTATTAATTCCTAAAAAAACAATTATTCCTATCCAAAAAAAAAAAAAAACAATTATTAACAACCAAAAAAAAATAAAAAAAAAATAATGTGTGCTGTGCCGTTGCAATTGCAACGGCACAGCATGGGCCGGAAAATTAGCAACGGCCAAAGGCCAGGTAAATATAATTTCCATTCCACCGTACGGAAAATCTGACATAATGTTTAGAATTGCAGGAGAAAGATTCAGGCAAAATTTTACATTCCTATTTGTCAAAAAGTAATCTAAGGAGATTTTACTGTTTGAAAATGTGGGAATGAACCCCCTATTGGGGTTGCCCTTAGCGGGCTTGACTTGGTCTTGACCCACTAAAATTATATGTGGATTATATAATTTTGAAGAAATTGAAATATTTGATATTATTTGAAAATTTAATGGAATCATGAACCTAGACGCGATGGTGTCCCGATACATTCCTTAATTTAATTAAAGAAATTAAATTAAATAAGGAATTAAGAGTTGGTTGGAGATTTTCTCTCACCCTCACCACAATAAATAGTGGTTTCATTTTCAAAGAATGAAGCTCTGGAATCTGCATAACGAAGCTCTGCCGAAATCTCGCCAGGATATCATCTGGGACACGCCCGCAGTTGTACTGCGTATACTGCGCTGAGGAACACGCCACTTGAACACCGGAAGCCCTTCTTTGAAGATCAAGCTGCATATTAGCCCTTCATTGAAGAACAAGCTACATAACTCCGGCCCTTCAGCAAGGAACTACTCCCAGTTCGGCATACTCCCGAACTTGGCATACTTCCAGTTCAACATACTTTGAACTTGGCTTACTTCCAGTTCGGCACACTCCAGAACTTGGCATACTTCCAGTTCAGCATACTCTGAACTCAGCACACTTCCAACAAGGAACTCGGCATACTCTGAACTCAGCACACTTCCAACAAGGAACTCGGCATACTTCCAGTTCGGCCATACTCCGAACTCGGCATACTTCAAGTTCAGCATACCCTGGGCTCGGCACACTTCCAATTTGACATATTCCAAATTCAGCACAGTTCTAATAGGTATACTTCTAGTAGAGAATCAGAGGATTTCTCATATACAGAGATTGTACCCCTTCTTGATTGATACATACTACTTGTAACCGACACTTTGAATTTTGAATATATACAATTCAAGTTTTTCGCGTTTACAACAACATTTTTATTTTACATTTTCGGAGAACAAGATTGATCGATAAACTTGTGGGTAGAATATTTTTTAATACAAAAAAAAAATATAAGAAAAAGAAAATGAATCATTTAACAATAATACTATGCCATACAAATGTACAATTGTCAAATTTGAAAACAATGCTGATGTGAATGTCACATCAGCATTACCTAATACATAATGATAAAAATAGGTCAAAGGGGTATGAATGCATTATTTTCATAAGGAGTTAATTTTTAAAATGGTCCTTCGACTATAACTTTTTTTAAAATTGGTTCCTTGACTTTTAATTTCACCCAAAGTCAGTATCCCATGGGGTAGGGGGGCTTGCCCTCCCACACCCCCATATATATATATATATATATATATATATATATATATATAATATGGATAAATTATAATTTTTGTCCCTCTTAGTTTTTTTTTTTAAAAATTATTATGTATATATTAAATGAACTCAAAATATATATATATATTAAAGCTCAAATTCATTAAGTGAAAGTAAATAAATCAAATAATCAAATTCACCATTTTTCTTTATTAATTAGCTTATTTCTTTTGTCAAGATTTCAATAACGGGGGTGTTGGTTTTACGGCTTCGGGTAGCCGTTCGGCGGGCTAGCACTACCGTAAAATACAAGGGTTTGTGAGTGAACTAGAGAAAGTAAGACCTCTTGAGAGAAAACGGACAGTGTAGCAGTCTTTTATTAAGTCATACCAAAAAGGGATCTTTTACATGGTGATCCCGTGAGGGTATTTATACAAAAAGGATGAGCTTTCTACAAGGAAAGTAGGGCAAATGTGGAGAAGAATCGGCTATGTAATCTGCTATAATTAATGCAATAAATGCCTAAATTGAGAAAGGAAGTTGTTCGTTGAATGCGGTCAACGTCCTCCTTCTGGTCAGGTAATTCTGACTCTTGCTTGTATTTGATTATGTTCGCGATCCAGAACCGCTCACGCTGAGACCCCAGATCTGTATGTCGGGCGGGTCCCTGGATGACTATGCAGACTGAGAGCAATTCGGTACTCGGCCGTTCCACGATCTCGGTGCGACAAGTCATCGGCAGGTACTGAGGTACGCCTCCCATAGCTAACTTTGACAGTATGTCCGCTTCTGCATTTTCCCCCGAAGGACGTGGACGATCTCACAAGCAGCCAGCTTCTCCAGCAGTCCCTCAGTTACATCCTTGTAGAGTTTCAATATTTCATCCTTGGTCTCACACTCAAGCTTTAGTTGACTGACCACCAGGCGGGAATCAGTTTTCACTCGCACCCAGGCAGCCTTAAGTGCAGGACGAGGCGTAAATCCCCAACCACCACCTCATATTTGGCCTCGTTGTTGAGGTCCGGAATTGATATTGCAGCACATAATACAGATGAAAACCCTCAGCAGTCGTTATCATTACTTCGCCTCCACAATGTCGAATGCTGGCCGCTCCATCGGTATGTATTTCCTACAACTCGGTCTCATCGGTATGTATTTCCCACAATGAAATCAGCTAAGGCCTAGGCCTTGATGGACGACCGGGGAGCGTACTCGATCCCATACTGGGTGAGCTCCATTGGCCATTTCAGGAGCCGTCTGGATGAAGACTGACTACGCAGCACGCTGGACAGCGGCAGGTCGGTCAGTACCCTGACTTGGTGAGCCTTGAAATAGGGAACCAATTTCTTGATATTGGTAACCAAGGCGAAAGTGACTTTCTCCAAGGGGGAATAGTTGATCTCTGCGCCCTTCAGCGTCCGCCCCACGTAGTATACGGGTAGCTGGACCTTATCCTCTTTGCGCACCAAAACTGATCAGACCGCCTTATAGGTGGCAGCCAGATATAACAGCAAGACTTCACCCTCTTTAGGCTTAGATAAAAGAGTTGGGGTCAAGAGGTACCTTTCCAAATCTTCAAAGGCGGCTTAGCGTTCCCTAGTCCACCAGAATCCCTCTTGCTTGTTCATAGCCTGGAAGAAAGATAGTGCCCGGTCGGCGAACTTAGACAGGAAGCGGCTGAGAGCGGCCATCCGGCCAGTCAAGCGTTGC